ATATAGATAGATTGATATCATATCCACCTATACAATATGGCGTGAAAGGGTTTTCTTTATCAACGATATCTTCCCATGTCCATGATGTCGAAATAATTTTGTTTAGGCATTAATTTCATAGTATAAGGGATAAATTAAACAAGCTTTCCAATTAGAAAAGGAAGGAAGTACAGATGAATGTTTTCCCTTGCGTGAAATCTAACAAAAGAAGATCGAGCGACAAATTGTATAAAAATAAAGCATACTGTATTTAGTTCCCACAAATATCAAGAGAAAATACATGCAATAAAAGCAATGTATATTCTTACAAGGTCACATTAAAAAAGGAATCACAGCACACACAAGGGGTGTAACAATTAAGCTATCAATTTCTTTCAGATGAGGGGGTCAGATAGATAAATTGTATGGGTCGGTCGTGATATGCCCGAAAATTGTTAATTATGTGATTACAATATGATTAGATCATTATCATTGTGGAGCGATATTATAGAAATTGTAATAGTGGTTCACATCTCAAATGAACTGAATCAAATTAAATTTATGTCATATCCCAATTTTGAGCAATCTGTTTTGATTCTTGTTAAAATGATGTGGTTGCTAGGGGGATGTTATCACCTAACCAATCGTCTAACTTAGCCACAACCACAACCTCAGGTGGAACGGAGTTTCAACTCCAACTTTCCAAGCTCTATTTTTGGTCAAAAGGTTGGTCACTTCTTTAGATGACCTCAAGCTACACCAACAACAATGGAATGGACAGAATGACCATTTGACCTTGACTTACTTCATTCCAAGACAGGTCAGTGGACGGATATAGGTCAGAAACTATTATCAACTATTAGGATGCATATTGCAATCATTATAGTCCTTATAATCAAAGAGGATCTGTTCTTTTTATGAGGTGTGAACGGGCGGGGGCGGGGCATGTAGGAAGGGGGGGGGGGGGTGCGTATTCTTTTTGTTCAAGAGTCATAATATGTATTCCCGCGACATTGCGGTTCGAGAAAAACGAATAGATATCAAAGTTTAAAATATCCTCTCCATCATTTTCAGACGATATTTTCTTTTTAAAGTTTGGTCAAATTTTTGAATATTATAACATTGAAATAAAAATTACTTCAGACAATGCATGCTGGGAAACAGAATCTACTAACACACCATCATCCTTTTTTCTCTTAGAAAAAAAGCTGATATTATCTTTATCATTCACGCTCATCACTGTCTCCTTCGTAGTAAGGTTCTCCTAATTAAAAACACAAAATATGAGCACCAATTTGTTGAGAACACAATGCATGTTTATTCAATTCAACATAACTTCAAATACTGTATAAATATGTTTAGAATACAAAATATATCGAAATTATAAACAATAGAACATTAAAGATTGATATCATTTCATGTATCACGGCTTTGATAGAATAAGGCTACCATCACCATAGTGTCTTAACAGAAATAAATAAGATATTTCTGTTGTCGTATCTGATTGAGATTTAAATCTCTACTTTAACATCACAAGTCATATTCAATGTTAATAATTGTCATCAGTTCTGTCAAAATGAAGCAGTAAGGCAATCGAGTCAAGAGAAGGGGGAGGGGTGAATTACCGGCATATTTCGGAATGAATCAACCCAGGGAATCAACTTGCACGCCATAACTGGCGCTTTGACATTCACCCATCCCTGTCTCTTTCTCAGTGTATTTTCTAGTTTGGCGTAAGCATCTCAACCCTACGCGAATTACATCTGGCTGGGACTGAAATATATACTGTCAATACGTATACACAATGAAGACATTATTAAATAAACACGTCCAAACAGCGAACCCGTCCCGTTCCGCCCCACTTCCACCCATCCAATTTCGCGACCGGTCAAAGCCGTTTTACTCTTCTTTTTTCTTGTCTCCTGGTTTAACAAAATAAGTGAGATCAGGAGAGGGAGAGAGGAACATCGTAAAAACAGCTTTTGACATTTAAAATGTCAGATTATTCACAGGTGCAGCTCTCATCAACTTTTCATAAAAATATATCACTACAGGGTGTTCCATTAATGAGCAGAATGAAGATGTTCTTCAACAGACCTGCTATACAAAAGCATACTAATATCTCTTCAGCTTTAATTATGGTATAGATTCATTGGAGAAGTATTTAAGTAAATTGGAAGTGTTTATTTCATAGTTTACATGAACATGCAATTAAAAAAAAATTGTATGAAAGATATATAATCGTGATCCCCAATGACCACATTTGAAGTACCGGCCAGCACAAACATTTCAGAGCATGAAATACTGATGTAAATGCCGATATATGGCAGTATTGTAAGTAGTGCAGAATCCCATATTTTGTAAAGCATAAGCAGACAATGTACACACCATATTCCCAGTATGAAAACATCTTCCCTATTTTTATGCGACGCCCTGTAGTGATGGTATCTGTGTGTTTGTTCTACAGAGGGTAATGGCCTGGTATTTCAAGATCAATGTCATCTGACATACTTCCACCTCTATTTGATGGGAGAGGAGATCTCTATACCCTCTACACAAAGGAAATACACCATAGACAAAATGTCTACAAATAAGGATCAATTATTATGGCTGGTAAACCATGCCAAAATATTACATTTTGTATATTAACTTATAGTTTTGATGCTGCAGAAAAAGAAAAAAAAAACCTAAAAAAATAACCAAAAAAATGAATGCAAATAAATATACACTAATTGGTTGCAATTGTTTCTTCAAGGATCAAATGATACAAACAGGGAAGCTTCACGATAATACAAATATAAAAACCAAACTATATATCTTTAAGGTTACAAGCACACAGGTAAGTTTACATTAGGTCATGTAGCGACTGAACAGTTTCCTAAATAGGTAAAGGCACATATTGACAGGTTTTGTTCTGCAGGCATCAATTGATATTGTTTCACACACACATTAAGGATGGAAAAAAAGCCTCATGAGAAAGCACATACAAAGACCAAATAACATTTTCCGGAAGATTATCATCAGTTCTGACCATTTTTCTGTCAGATCATAAAGGTTCAAGGGATCAGATCAGTAACTGTACTTACATTTTACCTGTAGGCCGAACAAGCATAAACTGCCTGCATTCTGGCAAGAAGTGCCAACCATAGTTTGGTTATAAAGAGTTACAACAGCTACGTAGGACTCAGGTAACACAACCCACCCCTCTCCACCACCCGATGACACCAACTGATAAGGCTGTACACTTCTTTCATTCATGCGTCTATCAGTATCAACAAATTACAGCACAAATACTCCCAATTGTCGCATCCACAGTATCATATGTACATGGAGGTGTTCTCCTAACCAGGTATGTTGATAGGTGAATATGATACAGGTAGATTGGAGATCTTAACTTGATACGATGTCAACATGTTATACAAATACTACAAACACTATGTAACATACTTTTTTATGTAAGCAATTTCAATCATCCATTATATCCCTTCGGTTACATATTTATATGTTTATATACATATTTATATGTCTTTATACATATTTATATGTCTTTATACATATTTATATGTCTTTATACATATTTATATGTTTATATTATGTATATATATCTGTACAAAAGAATGTGTTATAAAACAAAAGAATAATACATATATAATTTATATAATACTGTAAGAATTGTGGAAGAAAACCGAGTACAATGAATATTTCACACACTAACTTATATGGAATGTTCAAACATTTTCTTTACAAAGAGTCTTAATTTCTTTTTTATACAAAAAAAAAAATACACCCAAGTGGTAATAGACATTAAAAACTTTGAAATTTTTAAGTTATATATACACTTCTTAAAAAACAATAATTATATTACAATATACACATTATAATGCCATCTTACTCATATCTCTTCTGCTAAAAAAAAGTTGCATTTAAGTTCACTTCTTAAAAAGTATTTAATAGCTTATATACTTCTACATTAGTTCTACAAAAAAACAGAGTTTAACAATGTCCCGTCAAAGTTATGCTTCATATTTCAGATCATTTAGTTTTTAAATCTTTGGTTAACTTATCATCAATAGGACGGAATGCAATATTGTGTAATAATACTTTGAGCAAGAATAATAATACCTAAAACATAAAATAAAACCACAAAAAAAAGTCACTCTAGTATTATATGCTTCTCAAATACATGTACTGCGAACACGCACGTAGAGGAAGAACTTTGAACCAAATAGATGACAGAATTTATGGAATTTAGATTCATTTAGGGTTTATTTATATTCTTCTCTTGTCAGTCGTTGTTGGATGCCTAAAACTATTGGCAGACAGGCAAACATTCATCAGGTACCCCGACAGAAACAATATACGCTTCTTCAATCAAGATAATATATTGGATGGTTTACCTGTCACTCAGAGAGAGAGATTACACGGCAAGGGTAATGATCTCAGTGGAATGCAAGATAGTTTAAGTCTTGCATTCCTAGAGATTTAAGAATGATACCAATCCAATTTTTCAAGTGAAGCTTCTCCCGTTAAACGGAAAGAAGGACATTTCAAGACAATACTATGTGCAGAAAAAATGGTATCAGACATATCCACAATGCTAAGTCAAAGTTTTCCTTTTCATTGATTACCCTTGTGATAGCTAAGCTAACACTAAGTTCATGTTCATATTGTCACTTGACCTAATTTTGAACTAATTACAATTTCTTCTTTAAACTGACCATCTCTCTACAAATCTTAAATCTAATAATTGTTACTTTGTGAGGATATCTCTGCACATTTCTGTAATTGACCATATCTGTAATTTAACTTAGTCACTGTCTCTTTCATTGTTTATGTATTTATTCAGGCTCACTTGTTGACTATATTTGTAGATAGCTTGAAGCCTAGCCATAGCCTCTAACATTATCTCTGTTCAATTTTATATTTTTTGCACACTTTAGCAACTTTGTAAATATTTTAAACTTATAAACTTAGTGATTGTCTGGTGTGTTGAATATAGTAATCGACTCTTTCACTAAATATCTCTCCTTTACCATCATTTTCACTAGCTATCTCTAAGTCACTTTCTCTTTGGTGAACTATATCTTAGTCACTTTCTCTTTCAATGACTAATTCTCAGTCACTATCTCTTTCATTTACTTTATCTTAGTCACTATCTCCATTATTGACTATCTCTCAGTCAAAGTCTCTTTTTGTACTATCTCTGTGGACATCTTTAAGCTTAGTCGTTGTCTCTATCATTGACTATCTATACATTAAGTTTAGCCATCATCCCTGTCATGGACTATCTATACAACTTCTTTGAGCTTAGTCATTGTTTCTCTCTATGACTATATCTTAGTCGCTATCTCTTTCATTGACTAACTGTGGGTTGATTCCACTTTCGTCTCCTGGTTTAAGAGGCGGAGGGCTCAAGTCCCAGATCCTGGCCGTTTTGTCTTCACTACAGCTCACTACTCTTCCATGAGAAACCTTCAATAAAAAATAAAAGATTGAATGATCAATCAACTTATACATCGACACATTCATCCATTACTTGATTTACCAATAACAACGATTCAATACAAAATGAATCATCATATTCCACTATTATTAAAATATATAAAACTAGGATGGAAATTCTTCTCCAACATGATTAATAATTTGTTCCATAAAGCTCTATTTGAATCCTTCCTTATCCTTGAAACACTCTATAGTTCCTACTGATTAAGATCATATGGTCAGGTAGCGTTCACTCTGCAAAATGATTAACTGTTCTGAGGTGTTCATTGAAAAATAATGTGATTGGGTTAAACCATTCAGATAAATGAAGTTATATCTCACCTGAACATCTCTAACAGGGCCACGGTGACCTTGGAGGATTCTTACACAGGTCATTGAATCCAGGACCCACTCACCGATAGAGCCATCACTATATGACACACAAAATGAAAGGTTAAGAGTATGTTTATAAAGGGCATGGAAACAATACAAGAATTGAGGTGAAGATGCTCAGTTCGACCATTCAATACAAAAACATGTATATTTCTTCCACATATTTACCAAGAAAATCACAAATGTTTTGATCAAAGTTACATACAAGCTGAGAGACAATGAAGGTTAAAAAAAAAGTAATCTTTCATGCAAATGACTTCACAGCAGTTACCCAAATGAAAATATTGTTTTACAGTGGAATGAAATGCACAAAATAAAAATAGTTTAAGTGTATACATGTATGTGATTATACACGTGATTATTTTATAGAGTACAGTCAATTTATCTTTAGCTATAAATTTCAAGCATAAATTATCTAAACATTGATTCAGCAAAGTACAGTCAGATATTGGAAAACCCAGATGGAAAAATGTAGTATGCTTATTCATACATTAACAAATAAAAGATCGAGTCTGAGAAGCAAAGTCTCTCACAAAGAAATTGAATTCTACCAAGTTGTGGTCTGAATGTTGTGACTGCTTCCCTCTCTGTTGTGTTGGGTGTACAGGAGGAGAGGAAACAAGTCTACAGGCTACTTTCCTCTGTAGCACAGGAGGAGGGATGGAGGGGAGAGGGTGTCTCTTATAAGAAAACCAAGACACAAAGCAGGAGTAGGCTAATCAAAACTCAGACAGCAGAGGACACTATCAAGGAAATTGGCTGCTGGGCCAAGAATGACTTTACAAAAATGATCGGAAAATCTGGAAAATTTAGCATGTCATTTTTAAGGTTTTTTCTTCTTTTTCTTATAAGAAATTTCCAATGATCTGTTTCCTAGAAAAAATGCAAAACTCTAACCATGAGAAAGATAATTATGATATCCTTATTTACCCAGAGTGATAATACAAAAAACAAGAGACTCATGCTGATATTCAACAGAGGTACATATTAGCAGGTGGGTGTTGGCAAACAATTTTCTTCAATTTCTTTAAATAAGCTAATAAAGAAGGATTAATGTAAAGAGATAATTATGATATAAATGCTACTTTCAGCCTACTATAAACATAATTCGGTTAGATTCCTCTGCTTTAAAAATCACAAATTCTGAATAGAATTGTTTTGATTGACAGTGTATTTTGACAAACACCCATTCCTTGAGCACATTTCATAAGACAGTCCTTAATCAGTTTTGATTTTGGAATACACAGAGATATCAGACACAATTTTTGTATTTTTTTTTATTCACAATCGATTCAAGGCTGAAACAAATGGTATATCAAGAAGAAGCTACAAATTCAAACACACACACACAAACACACACAAATATTGTTGATAGTGGGTCTAAGTGTATCATTGCTAAAATATCTGTTTTTATAAAAAACAGTGATGATCCAGTTAAAATAATCATCTTTTATTGAGTTACAAGATTCGTTTGTAGTACAACAATGCAGTACAGTGACTACCAACTAATAATTAAAAAAAGTAGGATATAGTTGAAACTTAATGTACCCTAAAAAGGTGGGTTCCCCCCAAAAAACAAAGTATTGCAGTCAAACTGAAGTCATACTAATAAAAAAGTTCACTGAAAAGAGAAAGAGAGAAAAAGATGTGATCCCGGCATGGCAGTTGTTTCCTGTCACTTCTCACATCAAACTATAATTCAGCTCACAGCAGCTCATCCCAGCCAATACATGCTGACAAGAAGCCAAAAACTCAATTGGTAATCATTTGTACATACATGGAATCAGAGCAATTCAGATGTGTACAAACATGGCACATTACAAACGATCACGCAATCCATATCCGACAGCCCCGTTTCTTGATCCGCCCCGGCGCAGCGCTCAAGAAACCATAGCCGAAGAGGAAGGAGGCATCGTCCTGAGGTTTACCAGCCACCACTTGGCCCTCGTTTGTCTCTGACATGAAGACGTTGACATCGATTTGCGTTGGGCTTGCCTACCCTCCCCAGGAGATCATTAAGAAACACTAGTGAAAATGTGGGATTTTTCTTGACAAAGAGGGCCCCCCTGAAACTTCAGAGGGGCTTAGAGACGAATTAGCAAAATGAATGGCTGCCTTGTTCTGGGCAGAAAGAGGAAGGAACAACAATATGTCCAGCACCTGCTGACGATGATGGTTGTCCTAAAAGTGACAGTTGTCCTAGATATTGGCCCTTGATAGTTGGTATCTGACTACCCCTCCCTCTCGACTAATCTGCCCTTCTTCATGTCATATACCTTCTCTTCTTCCCTCAAGATTATACCACAGATTTCAAAAGCTGATCATTTTAACAGTTCTACAGATGATTTATTACACCACAGCACTTCCTTTAGAGCTGTGATTACAACAACAAATTTGCATGATGTGAAATCTTGCACGATTTTCTCCAAAATCAGGGCCCAACAAGGAGAATTTGGTCAAAATCTATTTCATCCATGTCTTAAAGTTCTCACATCAAAGAAGAATGAGTAATTGCCTTGCTGGAAAACTGACAAAGCGAAAACCAAAGAGTAAAAAAAGGCGGGGGATATGATTTGAAAGACAGATGCAGATGTCAAAATTGGTTAAGGGCTGACAAATGATATACAAAGAACATGCCCTCTATCTCCTTTTATAATACTTTCAAAATTTTATTCTTTATTTTCATTTTTTTGCTTGATATGGTTACGGAAATTTATTGTCCCGCTCTCTCTTATTTGCAATTTTTCTACAACTATCTTTTGTGACTCAATATAGACATCTTTATAACTTGAAGGCAAAATTCATTCCTAAATTTTAACCTGTTAGATAGCATGATTAATTCCTACAATGTATGATGCATATGTGTACTTTAAAAAAAAAAAACCTTTTCCCTTAGTTAGTAACCCTAACCTAATGATAATCCCTTCTTTTATCTACAAGACTGGTGAGTAAGATTTGAGAAATAAATAACCCTCCAATTTATGTCTGTGAATTTCCTAATGCTGAGCTGCCATTTCAAACAAACAATGAATAACAATAATAATAATATTTAATTTTTATATAGCGCTTAGTACAAATGTCTCTAAGCGCTTTACAAAATATACTATTAACCATTGGATTCAGGCCCCATCCCCCTTCCTATCTGATCGACTTGAATGGTGAATTTTATTTCTTTCTGTTTTTCAAAACAGTGTAATATCTTCAGCAAGTATGGAAGATCATAAACAACCATCAATGAACAGAGAAATTCATGTCACATTTTGTTATTGTTTCTTCAATTTTACTTGTTTACACAAGATAAAGACAGGGTAAAAAGGTAAAATTGGCACTCTATTCATTTTAATACCTTCTCTTGGCAAAGTGTCCACTGATAAGTTGAGAATGGTTCAGATCAAAATTGTCAACTCAAATGAGGAGTAATATTACATTGAACAGCCCACTTTGGGTTATTGTAATGACAATACATCAAAAAGAAAAATGAATTGAAATAAACATTAAGTGGAATGTTTTCACATCATGTTCCATACCAGTGATGTAAGGTTTCTCTGCACCTTGTTCTACGTAATACCGCTTGAGGAAGAAATAGTCTGAGACATCACTTTTAATTCAGGGAGACGTCAGTCTTAAATGGATGAGTGAAGGGCTTGTGCATGACATTTCCAGGTGTGCGACTATGAACGCACCTTCATGTACGAGCCAGACCAGGTATTACCCTGTCAACGACACACCTTCGTCTTTCCAACAAAATAACCGAGAGGAAAGGAAGAAAAAAAAAACCGTCTGAGATGTCTCTTTCAATTGAGGCAAACGTCAGATGGGCTGATGGGCGACTGTCGAATCTATAGAAGCTAGTGTATCTGTCGTAGCGCATAACATTCCAGCATATTCATGGCTTAATGTAGCCACCATAAAGGCGGTCCTTATCCACCTCATGCCAAGGGGAGATGCATTGCTTCCGCTTGCTGGCCTGGCCCGGGCTGGCAAAGCTTTCAGCAATATGACTGACTGACTGACTGACTGGCTGGCTGGCAAGCTGGTAAGCCAGCCATGCAGTTGAAGCTACCATGTTACTTCACTTGGTAACATTGGCTAGGGGGAATAGTAGAAGAATGAGTTGAGGTAGATGGTAGGAGAAATGAAGAACTAAAGATACATTGCATTCACTAAGAAGATATGAAAAAAGAAGAAAGACATACGGATAGACAAACAGGCAAAGAAATGGAGAAATATGAAGATGAATAGGAAATAGGAATATGTATCTAGCTAAAACATGATATTAACCTGATGACTACTGAATATTCTCATTTAGCTAGGTTTGATACAGAAGCCATACAGATCCAATAGACAACTAGTTAATAGTAACATCTATGAATGAATGAGCTGAAAGGGAATGAGTTTTCAGATGGAAGAGAAAGCATAATACAAAATATATGAAAAAAGAATGATAGAAGAAAAAAAACCAATCATAGAAAAAAAAGAAGAAGAAAGAGGGTGTTGGGATAAAAGATATATTCAAAGAATGCCTGAATGAGTTATGAAGTAAAGATTTAAGAAGTTATGTTGAAAAGAGCATAAAAAAGACATGATAACAATTATACAAATTCACATTGTGTTTGTCTTCTGAAGTGCATACACAAATGAAATGTAATTACCGAATTTTGTATTGAAATTGACCTATTAGTAATTTTATGTAAAGGAAATATATCACAATGGCAAACCTTACTCCTCATTTGTTAACATTCTGATGGGAAAGAATTAAGGGCTATATACTTGGCCTAAAGAATGAAACTAATTCTATGATGTGCAAAAGAGCATAGCGTGGAACATAAATAAAACATGGTATTGATATCAAAAGCGTGGTAACGTAATCCCATGATGATTAATACAAAAAGTGTGGATATTCCTCAAGCCACATGTTGCTCCACATGAAATCATTTGTTGGCACAATATTGGTTGGTCTGTGGTACACCCAGGTGACCTTCAAGGTCTAACCACCGCAACACTTGTGACCTTCTACTACTCACTAAACACACCAACTCAATTCAATCATGCACAAACTGGTATCAAAGCAGAAAAAAAGTTCTAAACAATAGGTAATTGACTTTGCACATGGGCCAAAGTATAAAAGACACACCCCTTTTACATGACATACATGTACATTTCAGAAATAAACCAGTATATCAGTTCCTGTGACTATTGAACCAGGGCTTCATGGATACTTATTTTTCAGTGGGGGTCCAGCCTGATATCTTAAAAGTGTGTGTGCATGCATGGGGGCCTCTCATATTTCAAAGTGGGAGGAGGGGGGGGGGGTGCTCTGAAGTTGAAATTAGGAGGCCCGTGTGTATACACTGAGTGTCTGTTAGTTTTGAGCTCGGGTTTAATACAGCAAAGCAATTTTCTTTCATTATCACAACAACAAAATAGTAAAATATAGGTGAAACTTTGTCATTTATCCAATATCATACCCTATTACAAAAAAGGGAGGAAACAACAGAGTAATAAGAGGATGTTAGAGTTTTCTCTGATGACAACTAGATTTAATTGAGATTTAGAGTTGATCCAATTAGTCTGCCTTCTAATTTCACTGAAAGGTTAACAGGAAGAGGTGATAAAGGGGAGGATCAAAATTTCATATTAGTGAGACTTGCATTATTAAAGTATGAGGCAGCTAGCCTAGTGATCTACGATACACCAACATGAGACACACACTTATAATCAAATGTTGGCTTCATTTTTTTTACCAGTATATAATTATTCATAATAATAATAATAATAACAATATTTATAAAGCGCAACATATCCATCTCTAGAGATGCTCAAGGCGCATACAAATAATTTAAATTAATATTCAACATACTTAAGATTAAAGAAATATTAAATGTTAACTTCATCTACAGTAACAATGAACTGATCATTCAGATACAGTCGAACCTGCTTTAGTGACCACCTGTCTACAAAGACCACATTTAAGTTTCCCTTGAAAATGGTTTCTCATTGAAACATGTACTAAATGAACCTGTCTAGTGCCAAGACCATCGGTCTACAAAGACCATTTTTTGTGTTCCCTTGTTCGGTTACTATGGTCAGGTTTGACTGTATATTGTTTAAAAGAACAATTAGTCGTTAGTACTAAACAGAATATAGGTGCAGAAGAAAATATAACATAAAGCAAATTTGAATTGTCTGAGAAATAGACACAATTAAACTGATATTTAAAATTTTAAATGTTTTATATCCAAATCACAACAAAATCCAAATAGATTGATAATGGCAATTAGAAGGTATAAATAATGGTTACAAGATATAAAAAGAGATCAAGTCCTGGATGAAATAAAAATATAATAGCAAGATTAACTTACGCTGATGCTATGAATATCTTGGTCTCCCTGTAGTCGACTGAGAAGACAACTAGTTTATACATGGGTGATTCAAGGGCTTGGTACGCTCTAGCCAGGGTGCCTTTGGTTCGGTTCCAGATCAAGAGACGTCCAGTCAGGGTGCCTACCAGTATCTGATCATCCAGACACTGATCAAGGAATAGAGAAATAAGGTAGCATTACTATGCACAATGCAGTTCACTTAGATGTATTGAAATAAAAAAAACTAACAAGCAACAAAAAACAAAACAACAACAACAGAATAACAAAAGAAAAAATTAATTTGCAATGTATAAATTTTTCTATAAACTGTTCAAAAAAGTTTTTCAAAGGCTCATGAAAAAGTCCAGAAATATGTGTACCTAGATATGTGGTATCTGGGAAGAAATCAGTCATTTTTGTTTAGATTAGATAGGGGGTCACTTTGACAGTGGGCCAAAGTGACCCCCATCCCTGGTATGAATCTAGCGTGTCATGAACTTACCTGAATGGTTGTGATGCGGTCTTGTTTCTCATGCGTCATGTTCTGAAGACACTCCCCGGAGTCGACATCAGTCACCTTTAAAGATCTAGAAAGAAAAGAATAATAATGATAGTTTGGAGGCTAAAACACAGCATTTCTGATGAAGGATTGTTCTAAAGAAAAGAAAGAAGGTGTTTGATGCGGACATGGTATGGGGCTTCACATTTATCTACAGTATAGGGCAATTTCTGATCAAATCAGAATCTTTTGAAATCGAGTGATGACCACTTGTGTCTCCAAATTGTTGATTTTTGCTAAGAGGAAGAGTTGGGAAAGAAAGGTTAGTTAAATAATTGTTCAACCTGAACCAATTCTTATAGAACTGCTTTTTTATGAATCAATGAGTCCTATAAAAACTGGAACAAAATTATTCCATGAGTTTTAATTTAAACCAACTTTACAATCTGGCTTAAGGTTTTTTCAAGATCAAATTTTTAAAAAAATGAAAAAATGAAAATGATTTACAGGTTTATGTTAATGTTAAAATTCATGATACATTTATATACCCTTTGAATGTGAATAGGCCTTCATAAGCATTTATGATTATTCAAAAATGAAATTCAAAATGCATTTTACTCTGCTAGTACATATACATAATGATTATAAAAGAATATGACAGGGATGACTTGATAATTCTATTCCCTGAATTTTTTCTTTCTTTGTTATCTAACGGATGTTTTACAAAATAAGGAAAGCATATTCATGAAGTCTTGTGTCGATTCAAAAGAATCCCCTCAGCTCTTAACATGGAAAGTAAACATAAATTATATATCATGTGTTTATTTCAATGGAATTCAATTTGCTAAGTAGCTACCCCTGCAATATGAACTCTGACCTATGACCTAGACCATGGGTGCACCTGTTCTAAACTTCCTCAATGGCAATACCCAAAGAGCTAATGACTGATCCAAGCCCATAAAATAACGAATCCCCATGGCCTAGACCTCAGAATAAAAATGAAAGCAAGATAAAATGTGTGCTGAAAGGAGAAAAGCAATAACAATGAAAAACTGGAAAGTTTTCGAAAGAAAGGAAGACTTGAAACAATGAGAGTGATGGAGAAGAGGAAGAAGAAGAAAAAAAGGACAGGGCAAAAAGAAAAATGGAGCATCAATGCAATGGCTATAGCTGATAAATAAGAAGATTGTAATAAATGTTGATAATGTTTTTTTTTTAAAGAATATAAAAACAAAATACATTAAAAGAGTTTTTATAGATCAACTTTGATTCTTGGACAATTAACAAGCTATAAAATACACTTCCTCTGTAAGGGCTCATTTAAAAATGTCAACCCAAATTTTATCTCCCAGAAGCAAAGAGGAAATGAAACATTAGGAGTAGTAGAAATATGTATAATCATCACTATCATCTAACCTATTGGGGGCTAGTTTGACACATACTAGGAGAACCTCTAATAATATGCCGTTCTTATATAGCACTTATCACATCATGATAAACGTCTCTATATGCACCTCCAAAGGACTTTGGATATTATTACCTAGGCCTTAGCTCCAGCAACGGTAGCACTCAGTGAATTCAAGGAATGAATCCTACCAAGTACCCGCTTACTACATTTGGGTCGAGTGTGGCAAATGCAGATTAATGTTTTATCAAAGGACATTAGTGCCGCAGCAAGATTCAAACCCCATACCTTGTGGTTCACAGTCCAGAGACTTATCCACTAGGCCACAACACTCCTAGATACAAAAGCAATGCCCTGCAAGGTTTATTTTTTGTTCTGTAAGGATTATGTTCCTCAGCCATATTCAATAATATTAGAGAAAGCTTTATAAACTTTCTATTGAAACTTCACAAAAAGGTTGTATCAAGGGTTAACTTTCTGTTAAATCCATTTTCATGTTTTTAAGATCACTAGTAATCTCCAGGTAGCAGTCAACTTGGCAACAATCCCATCATTACAATGTCTTCCACCTTCCTCGTCATACTGATCACAATCGTCACCTTAACCAAACCACCCAAAATAATTGTTGGGGGAGGCTCCCAATAACTTTTCAGCTACTGAAAACCCAGCTGTACTGAGACTCTGGGGACTTGCCAGGCGGCAGTTTCCTCAGAACAAGCCCTCTGCCAGATATGATTGCTTGATAGTTTTTACAAAAATACCTACCTCCCCTAAAATCATTACCACTATATTTGTTCTTATTCCAGAAGAGTGTAAAAGCAGATAGCATTGAGACATGAAATACTGAAATATTACTTATTTCTCAAATTTGTTTTTTTCCCAAAGAAGAGGTGATAGATATGCAAGGAAATAGTTGGATTATCAAAGATATCGATGGCAAAGCTGTAATGAAATGCATACGAGTTCCACATATAGGAGCTGGTGCGACCAAAAAAAAAAAATCGTCATTGGGGAGGAATTACGTGTCAGAAATAATCAAAAATTGGTGCATAATTTGAGCCTTGATGACAACACGGCTGAAATCAATACACATATCACATGCAAGTTATCAAGATAACAGGTTATCAGCAGGACCTAAAGTAAGAGAACAACATACAGCTGATTAAAGTGATTTCTAACTTTTTCTGAAGGTAACAAAGACAATTTTGAATCATATAGAAAGGAATTCAACCAAAAGCAAGCAAAAATAAATGCATAATTTCTTATCATAGATACATTTAAATGATAATAATAGAATACAACCCCTCAAAGTTTGCTCTGGAATGCATTTTATTCTTTATCTGATGCATAAATAGGTCAATCACAATTAAGACATTTAAATGGGTTGCCACACAAATGAAACAACGTTTTTTTTTCTCCATTTCCCAAGAAAATAACTGATAATTACTTTCACATCAGTCCGATAACTGACAACGTAAATTGAAAGTACAGAAAGTTTCAGAAGAAAATGATGATAAAACAGATTAGATTGACAAAAATGGAATATCTGGGTCATTAAGTGATGATGAGGTAAACATATTTAGTGACTACAGACTTAATTACTTGTCTGTTTTTGTTTTCCATTCAAGTTCATTTTAATGTTGGGGGAATTTTTAAAATCTATTCCCAATTTTTAATAGAGCTATGAAAAAGATAATACTATATGGATATGGAGAAATTTCTGATTTTTATACATTTTTTCATAACATGATTAACTACTCAGAAACATTTCTTTATAAACATCATTCTGCTCGTCCCTTTGAAATAAATAAATAGTACACACAGTGAAGATGTTAGTATATGCCTGTCTGTCTTTCTCACATTCAGGTTTGTATATATAACCTGTCTTACACCAAAACAGCCTACAAACATGGAAGATATTAAAGTCATTCTGCAAATGAACCCTTCAATCCTTCAAGTATGATGTTGCTTGGATAGTAATAAATCAATCAAACACTAGAAGTCAGACAGAACTTATTTGGTGAACAGGAAAGGACAGGAAAATGCACCTAATGAGAATTGACTTGTTTCTTGTGATATGCCCCAGGTATTTGATATATTTATGATCCCCTGGGTAAGTATGCCATATCCTGCTGTATTAGACAACAGCTCTGTTCACATTTGAATGAAAACATTTGATTCCTGATGGTCAAGGAAGATCTAAACAAACAGGCACATTATGTCGGTAATTTGTATAATGTGCCACTTCCAACTACATGTTTATCTATCTTTTCCTTTCTCTACCTCTGTCTATCTGTGCCTCTATGTCTATCTGTCTGTCTGTATGTTTGTCTGTCTCTGCCTCTATTATTGTCTGTCTTCCTATTTATTTTGTTTGTAAAGAGGTGTCCATACTTTTAAATGTAGCTAATGAGTTAATGCTAATATGCCATACCAAAGAAGAATGAAGAAATTCATTTGCCAATTCTACTATACTTTTCACCTGTGAAATGGTTGCAATAGGCCTCAGGTACAGATATATTTGCGATTAAATAGGTAGCTTTAAATAGGTAGGCCCTATTTGCTTAATTTACATCATTCTGACAATCGTGACACAATAACTCATTGACTAAAAATTTTACCATGAATTATAAAACAGATACTAAATAATTATTTTAAAAAAGTCTAAAGAGTAATCACCATGCATTGGATAGTCATTATTTGTTTCACTAGTTGTACTTGAGCCTATATAGTGGACATTATCGAGCCAGCTTTCATTTGATTGCATCATGGTTTTCTTCAACAATTTTGTTTGATTGTTTGAGATTTTAAATTAAATATGAATTTCCTCCTAGTATTATTTCCTTTCATAGAGATCATGATGTTAATTGGCAAAGTATTTAAATTTGTTTGGGATTAATTCTTTGGTGTGAATAAGGTCCAAGTTGGTTTAGAGATGATAGTTAGAATAAGGTCATGAACCTGCTGTACGCCCCTATAGTAGCTCGAAGGCATGGGCAAGGCGTATCTACCAGGCCGCTTTCCAGTCCAGAAGGAGCAATTAGCTGGCTTATTACAACCAATCACAAATGGGCTACAGACTTAATTTGTTGCCATTTTGAAGGTAGAAAGGAAAGTCATGAAAGGGGAATGAGATTTTAATCATCAACAAATATTGGATTGAGGGAGGTATTCTAATTTCAAGGGGATGATTGGATATGATTGCATAGTTTCGAGGTGGGGTTTAGAGCTTTTGATTCTGTTTCCCTAGGAAGTAGCAAATATGGGTCATTAATATGAGAGATGGCTTGATAACGTCCACTCTGTTGGCTAGAGTGAGGAAGAGCTCTCTAATCAGATTCAGAACTATATCAATAATTATTCATTGATGACGAGACTTGAGATCTACAGGTAAGACTGTATCCCTGGATCAAATATGGAATATCAGTCAAATCTATCCAGGCCATCATGCAGTTGATCAACATAAATCTAATAAAAGTGGTAATTCATGATTCAGACATGAAAAAAGGAAATGACACTGCGAAAAAAGACACACAAGAAACTACCCATAGAACATTGTTACACATAAAGGAACATACCTTTAAAAAGATAATGAACAAAAAAAGAATTTGCAAAAGTAAAGAAAAGAAAAGAGCACAGAAAAAACAACACTAAATTTTACTTTTTATGACTTTTTGTTTAATTTGTGAATTTATGAAGGAGTCACCATTTTGAACAAGTTCTAATTTCATTTTAGGGTCAAAAATTCTTTTGGATAATAAAAAAGGTAGGCAAGTAAATTCATTCCTGGACAAAAATATTTTCATTGTACTTCTCTGCTTCTGCTTGCATGCCTACAAACAAATTAAATGATTAAACTATTAGGTACAAGGAAAGCATAAATTAGGTACATGTCACCACCGGTCTTGACCACAATACTTAAGTCTGCCCCTGGTTTATCTCATATACTTGACATTTCAATTCACTAACTTGAGGCTTCATAATTTATTTATCCTCTATTCATCCACTGCTGCCCGAAGGAGCAGCAACAAAGAATGCAACGGTTTCCCCTGCATATGATCTGAGGCTGTAAGCACCTCCTTCCTGCCTTGAACTTCAGTATATGGGACTACACAACAACCGCCTAGAGACAAACCATATCCTCTGGAGTCAAATTTAAGGGGTTGTGGCTCTTGGGACAAATTAAGATCATGGTTTATCGCTTTCTCCTTGACAAACGGGAATAAATTTCCTCTAAAATGGCTCCTCCACCACAAGATGACTGAGGCTTGATGGTGGGTGTGAGTTTCTTTTAAAGCTGGTATTGCAAGTGTTTTTAAAGTTTGATTTAATTGTTTTACCCTCTCTCTCTCTCTCTCTCTCTCTCTTCCAAGCCAACTCCCAGGGAAACAGTCAATGTCATGTTGCACTTTGAGGAGACATTCTCCAAGGGGCAATAACCATTGTGGTAAGAAAACTGTGTCTCAAAATCATGGAACCTTGAAGGTATACATGTTTTTCTAATCATTTTAATACACTGTGGGAATTGTCTGAAGACCCTTATATGCCCTAATTTACTTTAAGACTATGATAAATGGAATTGAAACAGACATTCCACTAAGAACATTTTTTGATCTAATTTCCTCCCTCAACAAGAGGTCACGTATCAATTATTTTATTTTATTTCCACTTGTTCGGTTGAATATATGTAGTTTAAGTACCGATGATTAATTTACAGTTGCACTGGATAATACTAAGTTCAAATGAAAATATATAATTGATGGAGAACAAAAAAATCATGCTGACAAAGAATTTCAGATATATTGTACGATAGGATAGGAAGTAAATCATATACCAGGACCAAAACAAATAAAACTTGTCAGATCTCCAGGCTAAATTATTTCTTTGGCCATTATTTCAACAACAAAAGAAGATATTATTAATATATAGACAATAAATTACCTTTACTACATCTTCGGTGTAAGGTCTTTTAAAGAAAAGAAACAATGGATGTTGATGAGAATCTATTCTTGCATCATGGATCTACAGTAGATGTGATCTTGTCAAGTTCCACCATGGTGATAGAACAGAGATATCATACAGTTGCTAGATGGATTGTATTCACACACATGGTCTGATATACCTGGGCCTTATTGCACAAAACTTACCATTGTTGGTAACTACCATGGAAACCTTGATTTTGATTGGCTGTTGAGCCCTGTTACCACAAAGATACCCATATATTTTGGGGGTATGTTTGATCCTGATACACATTTACATTCAATGAATCTTTGATCCTGCTAAATTTCTTTGAAAACAGACAAACAACAAACTGCTATTATTGTACTCTAATGCAAATCTATTCTTTGAACATTCTAAATCTATAATATTGAACCATATAATATTATTATGTTGCAAACAAAAATGTCATCAAACATATTACACAGTTTAAAGCGAAAAAATAATTATTTATTGTGTTAAAGAAAACTTCCTTCTCATGCAAGAAAATGTAGAAAAACATGTATAAACTACAAATTTCATTTTGACGAGAAAATGTCCACATGCGTGTTTGTTTTCTTTAGTCATCACGCATCCCATGGCAATCTGGGGTTGATTAAGCTTTATGTCACTTTACATTCTTGAATCACACCTTTAACACGGCAATACAGTGGGCGTTTGTTGCAGACAGGAACTAATAAATTGATGAATCTTCAGCCCAATGCATTTATGATGTGCACTTCGACCTTCAGATTAAAATTCTATCCTGCCAATCACACATATAGGAAGCCGATAGACGAGATATGCTTTTGTTCTTGGTTAACTTTAGGCCACATCCTCCATGGTCTGATGTCTCCCGACACTTGCTACTGTTCTTCCAAATCCTTGATCATGACTGCACATGTTGCTCCCGCCCTCATATGGGAAATAGTATTATACAGCCAATTTTTCCATGAATGTTATTTTGGGGTGGAATTAGGGAGAATGAACAGGCATTTTTCCTGCTTTGTGCCCAGGTAAAACTGCACTTTCTAATATCGTGGTATTGATACACCTATGATAAGGATGGCTTCTTGAAAAGCATGCATTTCCGCCTCTTTAAGTATGCTTCACTGAATTCAATGCTTGAACCTAGTGCTGTAACATCACGGATATCTCCAATTCCGTTTAACCGCCTGTCAAAACCGGACGGTTTTCGGTTAAACGATTTATTTAAAAAAAAAAAAAAAAAAAAAAAAAAAAAAAAAAAAAAAAAAAAAAAAAAAAAAAAAAATCATTTTTTTTTTTTTTGGCCGTGTGAAAAAGCAGGAAGGTGATTTAACTGAAGGCGCCGATTTGTGCTTGTGAACTAGTCACAAATAATAGTAACAATGTCGTTTTAGAATAATGTGTAAGATCATTAAAGTAAATTAAAAACAGTAGAGGACCTAGGATAGAACCTTGTGGTACACCATGTGTTAAACTTGGATGAATATATATTGAGATCTATTACAAAGATTACTTTCAAACCAAGATGACAGACAAATTGGAGTGTTGTTCGAGTTTCCAAGTGGTAAGTCATCACACCGATTACTGAGCTGGGAGACATTGCCAGGCATAGTGCCAGGTGGAGGGGCATAAATCGAAACTTTAAAAAAATAAAAAATAAATAAAAAAAAATTTAAAAAAAAATTAAAAAAAATTAAAAAATTATTTAAAAAAAAGAAAAAAAAAAAAGGGAAAACGAAACCGTCCAATTGAAAACGGAATCCGCCATGGGCGGTCGGATACCGGACGGTTAAACGTTTGACTACAGCACTACTTGAACCCCCTACGGTACACCTTGTACACCTATACTAATTGGCCCTCAATAAAGTATCAGTTATCTGGCTTAAAATTACAAAGCTTTCATTCTTTTCTCTTTGGCCAAATATCACCTCTTTCTACTTCTTACCATATAGTTGCCATTTACTAATTTCTGTAATAATTTCCACCCTTCTCAATTTTTCGAACGTTTGCCTTTTTACAATTGCTATTCTCCTCCCTAAAAGGCCTACCGTATGCAATTTCTCTATATTATCTGCCTTGGTCTTTCTGAATCTTACTCTTGTTTCAAATTATCTCTGCTCATCTTTGATTTTCCTATTTCCTATATTTCCTCCTCTATAACTCAAACCCGCCAGTATCTCTCTTTCTCTCCCTCTCACTCTCTCTTTTTCTCTCCCCCTCTCCATCTCACTCTGAGTACTGCTTCTACTGCAGGTCCATAACAAAAATGCAACTATTGCACAATAAGAACAGAGCTAGAGAGATAGCTGATGCATGTATTCCTGACACACGTCCGCATCCCGGTCATTGTACCGCCACTGAGCTCATGGGGTTTGCTCCTAGCTCAACCAGACGCTGCTGAACCATGCATGCAGGCAGGAAAGCTAGCTGGGCTACTCCGTCGATCCACTTCCCATCAGCCCCTATAACCAAGACTCTATCAACACCGTCTGTTGGCTTTCACCAATCAATGTGCTTTCCTTCATTACTTGGCTGTCAACCAAGGAATCTTTCTAAACACTATATAATAAAGCATCAATCACAACCTTTTACTCATGATAGGAATTATTCTTTTTCATTAAAATGATTATTGTAGGAGTCAAAGACCTTTACGCATGCAAGCATGACAATGAAAAAAAAAAGAAGTCTTGGTACACCGTGACAGGATCGGATAGAAGATGACTGGAATACAACTGTCCATGTATACAATGTACCTTCGTCTACAAGTTTGCTGACTTCATAAATTTCTGTGCTAATGTGCCTTGATATCAATAAATTTATCAATTAAGTAAACATTAACATTAAAAGAGCACAATCATTAAAAATGCACAAAAAATATATTTACTATACTACTTTGAATAGATGCAGGGAATAAAGCATTCATATAATGCATCTCATGCAAAATAAATTTGGAAAGCCTGCAAAATAATAAAAATGCAAAGTGCCTGCCATGCTGCAGATAAATGTGGCTTGTCTACTGCTGAGTTGAAAGATAAAGAAGAAGCAAAATATAGAAAAAAGGGTCTTCTTTACTTACACATTCAGCTCTTTGAAGAGCTACAAACAACAAAGGTAGAAACATAATATCTGAGGGAATCATTTTGTTCATTGTTTACTTTAAATAATCCCATATGCTGATTGAAGTATGTATGCACTCTGGAGGTAATGAATACTTCCTTCTCATACAGACACTTCCTATGTAACATATGGGAAGGAGCCGTTACATTGTTCTTCGAGACAAGCCATCATTAGCTAGCTGTCTCCTGGACCACCCTGAAGAGAAAAGCATTCACTGAACCAACAAACAGTTAGACCTCTCAACCAAAGAATCATCAACTACAAACACATATGAATCATATTTCTTGATGCAATAGCCTTCAGTGGTTATTGCAAGCAATTTCTACCAATTTTTGCTTAAGACATCCTTCTGTTATCTTGTAGGAGTTCCAGAAACTTTGATGATTGGTCGGTCCCTTGATTGAATTACTCACAAAGAGGAGGGATAATTGAGATGGTCTGTTGGAGGTTGTGAGAGTGGGACGGACGTTGGCATGAAACATAATGATTCATGGGAGGAGATGAAAAGAGTTCCTTCAACTGAAGATGGAAAGTGCTTGGAAGAAAAACATTGCTCCATGTCACTAACTCACTAATTACAATCATGTATAATTTTGCACTGTACCATCCTTCAGGTACCATCTGGTATGTATTGTGATGCTTAAAAAGATTTACTGGGATATGTCTCTGGTTTTCAATAAGACAATTCAAGAAAACCCACTCGGGAGTGATGAGCAACCAAGTAAAATGAATCGTCAGGTGAGTTGCAAATATAGGAAGGACATTTTGTTTTGGCAAGGCATTTATCAAATTTGGAAAATGTACCCTAAGGAATAAAGGATCTTGTGTCATATTTCAAGTGAATAACAAGAGGACTTTATATTACTCTCCCCTGGAAAAATATTGTTAAAATCTAAGGAAATCATTGGTGAAATATGATATACTTTGAACTCATCTGGATGGATCTGATGCTATTGGGTGATCTTACATTAACGTGACACTGCTCATTCCAAATGACACTTCTCATCTCAAATGTGTCTCCTACAGAGTGAGATGTTCTAGATTTTAGCAAAATTTAGGCCTCTGGATAAAAAACAGGGAACTTTAAAATAAATTTCAATTTTTAAGAACTGCCGTTGGATGATACCAATATGAAAATTGCTACTTTGAGGGACAAGATATTTGGCATGGAATGAACTTCCCCCAGTTTCCTGTTAAGGTGCCATACAGATGTTATTCATTATCATTATCATCATCATAATATCATCATAATCATCATCACTGAACAAACACTGTTTTCTTGGCTTGCTGGAGGAGAGTATACTATATATGCTTACTAATGCAAACCACAATATAACCGCCAACAATTAGCATGATCCATGCAATGATACAACCAGATGATAAATGATGACAATGTTTTCCACTTCACCCCGGCCACCAATGGTCACTCTCAAAGCAGGATGTTTCACCTACAAACACGATGTCTTTTTCGATTTTCTCTTCTCGAAATGAAAAGTCCTTGCATCAACCACTGATTCATGGAGGCATAATTGTAACCATGCCATGTCAGCGTATTTTTTCATCACCGTCATGACTAATTGGGTCTCTCACTGTGGGATGCTGGATGTTTCAACGGGCTTACGTAACTTTTCAATATGTTTTGCATAAATGAATCACTTCACAGCTTCACATACTACCTGAAAGGTTATCAATGTGCTTTCTTATATGTATATGATGTAGAAGGACTTTGAGGGATAAGTGTATGACACACCCTCTGAAGACAATTGCTCTGCTTTCAAATCATAACCTTACCAAAATTCCTAACTTGGATCAAATCCTAATCCAAAATATTTGATAAAATAAAGCTTGGAGCAAATGTCACGTAGCCTGCAAGATACATTGTGCCTCTTACAATTTCAGGTAAAATGTATCTCAGGCACTGACTTAATAATGTAGTATGATTTAAAAAGGTACTGTACTTCTACTAGAGAAGATGTATACACTGAAATCAATGGTTAAGTGATTTACAGGTATTTGTAAAGACACTATATGTGTAGAAACTGCAGATGCAGGATTAGCAAATCATGGGGGTTAAATTGCTTGTACATGAATGTATGACATTGGAGGGTGATTCAGTAATGCATTGCCATCTCAAAATCTACATTTGTAGGCTGGAGAAATCTGACTTTGTAGCACCAATCTAATCATCATCTGCAACCAGAAGGGAGTTAGCTCTGTAGTAAATAATACCCCTCCTGCTCTGAGCAGATGATGAAATAATTTGAATGAAAAAAGTAGTGGACAAATGAAATTAAAAATCATCCTTACCTATCAAATGAGCCACTGATGACGGCCTCATCTTCTAGAACCAGGCATGTAACAACATCGGTGTGGTGCTTGATGGTGTGTTTACACTCGTAACTAAACATGCTCCAAACACGTAGAGTACGGTCATGGGATCCGGTCACACTGTACAATATAAAGAAAGAAATTATACAATTTCGTTAGGTATCTTAATTGAAATTACATTAAAAATGATTTATTATGTATTATGATCAAGTACATAAAGCTGTACATTTATTTGATAAAAAGAACATGTTATGTATTCCTGTTTTCTTATTTGCAAGGGGAGAAATGTAACATAAATGATATGTCGTAAATCATGCATACAAACATTGGTATAATCTGCCAAAATTTCTACTTTCTCGCTGGTACAGTGAGTAAAATGCGAGAATAAACAAAAAGAACATTGAAAAGCGATAAAATCTGCATCAAGGTTATTTCCCCCAAGCTTTATATTTTGAACGCAGTGTGATGATGTAGCATTGTTCACAGATAATGACAATAAATATTGAAAATCCAAAGAGTGATATTGTGCCTCTATGCCAATCCAGTCATCACATTAATCAATTGAAAGAAACTGAGGATCTTGCCTTCATATTCATAGAGGAATTACCTGACTATAGAGAGCCCCAGACTTGATATGGATACACAAATGTTTGCATCTTGGCAATTCTTAAACATATACTAATCCACAGCTGGGGTCTCTGAAGGTATATCTTACACAGCAAGGCTTTCTGTTGCTTGGATGCTTTGCCAACTTAAATGGGCACTGAAATTCACAATCAGAGATTCAGATTTCTCTCATTACATGAACAAGAATGGAAAAAGGACATTTTTTTTTCAACTGAAAATTATACGCATACTGATAAAGGAATTATTTAAATTTAATATTGGGAAGGCCATTTATGATTTGATGGATTTATTGGGTAATTTATACTTCAACCAGCGCTATAACTGTCTTCTCATATCAGAGATAAAAACAAAGCATGGTTCAATAGCATAACTTTCTATGTTTCAAAAAGAAATACACATATGTTTCTGGAATAATCAAGGAGACCTTCTTATCCAAACACATGTAATACTGAAAATCTCAAACTTGCTTTGCCACCCATGGCATGGAAAGGGTAAAAATATTAGCACTTTTTCTAATCTTTGATAATTTTTTTCATAATAATTTTAAACATCTTATAACCAAGTATAACAAGTTTAATGTCTAATTGGTGCTCTAATACTATAAAAGGCCCTTGAGGTGAGCTTGTACAGGCACCTAAATATCACAAGAGAAAAGTTCACATCTGTTACATATTTTAAGGTAAGATGGCGGAAGTGTGTCTTGCACCTACTTCGATAGAGTGTCTGGGTAAATGTCATAGGAATAAAACCCAGACAAATAAAAGAACTGCAATTATGGTTTCCCTTATTTCACCACTTTGAAGGAACTTGCCCGGTGAGCTGGGATAGTGACGTCAAGTTATTTTTCTCAGATTTTCATCTCCCAAGGAATCAATAAAACGATCAATAAACCTGGTTTGCATAATAATAAATTAATAAGTCTTTTGTTCTATAAGATCCATTGTAGGTACAGAAAGTTATTAAAGTTATTCTCTTAAAAAAGCCATGAATATTCCTTTATCAGATGAGATACTATATTTTCACATCAAAAATTGTTCAATATGGTAATGATTTTGGTTTTTATTTCACTTTCTAGAGACATGTTTAAGGTGATTTATTTCAACTTAAAATTTATATTTTTAGAAAATACAAATCTACAGTGCAAAAGAAGGCTACATTATTTTCAGTTTATTCACTATTTTCATCATGTCTAATTTTTAGAACAAATGTAACAACAACAAAAGCAACATGCATTTTAGATTAGTGGGCGTTTCTTTGTATCTACACCTGATACTCATATAATAAGTCCGTGAAGTGTGTCACACTTCCAAGGATCAGTATAAATCATGAGTTATGACATCATCATCAGATGACCATGGTAGGACTATCAAGAACAGGAATGGAAACAAGGAAGAAGGGGGAAGTGGCAGACTTGGACAATTGCCCCTCCCTTTCCCTCCTGGCGTCTTCTTTTATTCAATGTTGTTTGATTGTATATGTTGGGTCTGCAATGTAGTGTGTAGGAATACAAGAAGGGAGGAGGGGGGGGGGGTGACCCACTTTTATTGTTGAGTTTTAAACTAATGTGTGGGAGGGCAGGGTAAAACGTTTTAAAATAGCTGACATTGAAAGGTATACTGTGTGAGAGTGGGGAAGGGTCACTGTAAAGCAAGTTTGAAACAAGGAGATTGCGATTGGGGATCCTATAAGCACATTTGAAATTACTAATGTTTGGTGGTAGAACAATTGAATGCTCAGTCTAGACTGAGAGAGATAGAATGTTAGGAAAGGAGAGAGAGAGAGAGAGAGAGAGAGAGAGAGAAATACATATTACATATAGAGAAGGAGACTGTTGGAAAAAATGTTTAGTTAAAGATTACTATAAATGCTATGGAACTCAAAGCTCAAAGCAGATCCCTCTTGATGGTTAAAATATAAATCCTTATCAGAATCAGCAGATAGTACAAGCATAAAGGTAGTCAAGTGAAACCGCTCACAATTAGAGTGATATGGACCGAGCAAGCTCTACGGAAGAAAGCAACACGTTCATCTGACTCTAGGAAATGAATGCCGACATAAGTGGAGCAGTCCTCTTTGTAAACCCTAGAACAGCCTATCACAATTTAGATGACACGTTATAACGTAGCCCCGCCTCAGTGATAATAAGAGAATGGGCCCTGGCGACAAGGTCTGGCTAAAATCCAGTAAATGGGACAGTTAAGAGAGTAGATCGAGAGCTGAAGTAGAAAAAGGAATAAAAGCAAGAAAAAGAAAGCGGGATGGGGAGAATCACGAGGCCCCTCGAATGCTAGACAAGACGTCAGAATGGACTCTCTTAAAAGTTGTGAATATGGCATATAAACGTCCTCAAGCATTATGTATCTTCCGCACCGAATAGCAGGTGTGGGACTGGGGCATATATGAGAAATTAACCTTCAATCTTTAATAACATAATCTGCCGTGGAGTCAAAAGACGGGGCACATTCACCACATCGTCTAGAGCCTGGTCTTCTTCGACCTCCCAGAGACATCGACTTGCCATGTCTTCTATGAAAGTGGCATTTTTAATCTAAAATATGCCTGTGAGTATGGTAGATATGAAATCTGGACAGTGTATCACTTGTTTTCATATGCCGTTATTGTCTGGGTTATGAGGCTGCAAGACAAATAGGAAACCTAAGAAAATTGGTCCATGAGTCAAGGAAAGACTGGAAGGCATCAATGGTGTCACCATTAATTACTCCTAATGAACCATTCTGCAACACCCATTCCATTGTCACTAGGGCTGGAGCCAGCCAGAAGACTCTTTTAATAATACCTTCCATGTTCCATTTCAAAAGGGTCAGTTAGATAATTATACTTCGTACAAAATAATTATTCCTAATGAAGCATTCCAGATACTAACTGCAACTGTCTTTCCTCACATTGTGTTGGGCATTACCTAAAATTTGTTTTCAATCTCTGCCGGAATATACTTAAATAGTCAGATATGCCTGGAGAAAAAGAAAGAAAGTCAGGATTTCAGTTCTGGATTTAATGTCCCTGAATCATCGTGATGAGTATGATTTATGTTTCTCTTTATGTGAAGGATGAATTACATCTATAAATTTCAGTTGTCACGAAAGCATCCTACAAAGGCATCACGTACGTTTGACTGGGCCAGGGAATTTAATGTCAAGCTATACATGTGCTGGTTTGAAAGCGCATGTAATTGGCTAGATTCAAATCACATTAAGCGCATTCATAGAATAGCAGTGTGTCATCAATTGATATTTGGCAGATGAGTAACAGCCATTTCAACCACAATAGAACATATGATCAATGAGCAGATATGACATGAAGAAAAGATAAATAGAAGAAAAAAAACATTAAAGCTTTCAATTCCATTACTTACTTTGCCCAAATCTATAGATTTTTTAAAAAGATCATCAAATACGGGAGTGACAATGCTACCAGGCCTTCAAAGAACCTTTCAAAAACCGATTTCAGAGGTGAGAAACGAACACGTTTATGGATACAAGGGAGAAAGAGGAAAATAAATTTTGTTAGCTTAACCTCCGATGACACTGAGTTAATATTTTCTTTCAATAAAGATGACTTGATGTCTTTTTGAATAGTAATGAAAAAGCCTTTGCAGAACACCAATCATAAAATTGTGTAAGGGGGTATCTCACTGAGCGGCGAATGCTTACGAAGGTTGCGACTTTGGATTAGCCAACTTTTCTGACGAATATTAGTGAAAATCAGGGTTCGCCTTTTTGAATGTTCAAAATTTCTTTGCGACAATGAAAAAAGTTTGCAAACTTTCTTGCAACCTTTTGAAACCTTTTACGAACCCTGGCGAAACCCCAAATTTGCGACGTTCGCAAGCATTTGCCACTTAGTGAGATTAAACTTGTGCAAAAGGGTAGTAGAAGATAGTTACCACTGGTTGTTTTGTTTGACAAAGCCAAAGAAATTGCCATTTGAATAGCATAGAGATATCGAAACACCAAACTGTCTAGTATTTCAATTATATGTAAAATAGCACAGATTCAGTAAGACTCCCTTTCCTTGTACATAGAAATTTGTTTGTTGAGGGCCATAAGGACACTAACTTGCATGTTATTATATAGAGCTAACACCTTTCTGGCTCTCATCAGGTGACTTTGCATACAACACAACGTGAGCAAACAAATTAAGATGACATCCAGATCAGGACGATCGAGGTTGCACAACTTACAGGAGACGGTCGTTGAACTGGAGACACGATACAACGCCTGTGTGGCCGGTGAGTTCCGCTAGCAGTTCAAACCTTACCACATCCCACACCATGACTGACATGTCCCAGGACCCAGAGACTATCCGAGTCTCGTCAAGCTGCAGACATCGGATTCCTCCCTGATGGTGAAACAAACAAGCAAACAAAGATAGAAATTAAGGTCTCTTGCAAGGGCAAGCAATTTATTGTAATTAAAGGTGGAGGAGTGGATAGCAAAGTAATATATTAGAAGAATGGCTTGTTTTCCAGACACCTATACCAGGGACCTGTTTCACAAAGCCTTTTTTCAATGAAAAATGACAAAAATCAGTGACAAAGCTGCTGATAACCAATAAGAAGCAAGGATTTCACTAGCTTATAACAAAATCTGTCATTTCAATGACAAGTTTTTTGAAACACCTCCCCTAATATAATTTGTACTTCAAGCCTCAAAGAAACCGACCTGAATGTATATGCATTTGGCAGTAATTATGCAATGCATTTTTATTAATTTTCTGGAAAGGAACAAAAGAGTTTATGGTCTTCCATTAATTCAACATTTTCCTTTATACTTGGGGGAAAAGGAGTGATGCTCTGCTGACATCGTCTCTCGGTAGAAGTTAAGAATACCATCATTATGTGAGAGAGAAAGTGGTAACTCACTTTTGATTTGTTGAAATTGTATCAAAAGAAGCAAATATAAACAGGAAAGCTGCAAAAGGGTGTTTAGAGCTCAATATGTCATATTTACACAACTTCAAACATCACAATTTGTGAACAGCTTTCTCATGTTTTGAAAATTGTTTTTTATGATTGTTTGTAAAAATTATGGATTGTATTTCAAAATATACTTGTTCCAATATAAAATATTAAGATTTTGAAAAAAGATTTTAAAATACAAATAAAATGCACTGCTGCTTCTGATGAAACTTGGTCATGGTTAAACTTCTTAGTAATAGCGTGACTCGAGTGACAAGTTTTCTTGAAATTCTTTACAAAGAAGCTTGATAAGTATGACTACTGGATTATTTAAAAGGTGAGCAAATATTGAAAAATTGCATTCCTATGGCTTTTCAAATTTCTGTCATCTTATCAATCACACCCAATCGAAGCATTTTACTACATTCCAGTTAACTGTCTGAAAAGATATAAGCCACAATCTCAGATATGCTCTTAGACGTCCTAGCATTGAACCCATGAAACAAAGGAACATCATTAATCATATTCTCATCTTCATTCATATAAATATGAATAGATGAATGTGAAATAACCACACTTTTCTTCGACCTAAAGCTTTTGAAGTCTGACCCAACCTGCTTACAAACAGCTAAGAGAGAACACAAATAAAAGAATTTGTAACCACTTCAATTCTTTTAATCTCCAGTGTCACATGTTTGCTCATATTAATTGAGAATGGCATATCCTCTTCACAATGCCCTCAAGCAGTATACCATATATCTTCAAGATATTTCTATTCAGTGATTAGTCACTGGATTTTCAATGAAGAATTTCATCAAGATTGATCTGTTGGTTAAATTGCAAGACAGGTTTTTGTCTTCCAGGTAAATCACAAATATGATGAAGACACAAAGAATTTAAAACTGAAGTCACTTCTAGGTCACGATATTTATGAACTTTGTACCAATTCATATTTTAACACATTTCTCTACTTCTCTTATTCATTGATCACTGTTTGAGCTAATTATTGTCATGTCTACAACTTAGTCTTCTAGTATTTTGAACTTAACTTGGCAACAGCAAAGACCTGACAGAACTGAAGAGAGGAGACATACAAATTACGAAAGGGAATAATATACATTTATAAAAATGTATGATTTTAAACAATTTAAAGGCATATCACAGTCAATTATTACTTATGCATAAATAGTCAGGTTATAATTTTTTTATAATTTGGTAACATAAATACTTGCTTCTTTACCAACATTCCTCAAACTATATGCTAAAACCTAACAATGAATCCTACTTCAAACATAATTAATATGCACACTAACAAAATCAGAAAAACTAACAGATAGTCTTACAGAATATATATCTAACCTTTAAAAACTTTTAAAATGAATTCATTGACGGACTTTGAAATTCTAATTCATTTGTCATATGCCTAACAATACAACTACCAAGTTCACTTCAGGTGGCCAGCCAGACACAGTGACCTTATCCATGTATTGTACACACATTTCACAATGTCAATCAACTCATTGCCCTGAATCAAGGTCCTCACCTGCAGGTATATATGACGTGGATGTGAGGGGATGAGATCAAGATTTGGGTTAAAAACATGAATAGAATTCAGTACCTCATGTTTTATTCCTAATTCAATTAAGACCAGATATCTGTTCTACACTCCGGATATAACAAATCTGGTCAAAACAATTCTAAGAAGAGACATCTGTGAATTCAATTTGTACCCTATGACGTAAAAAAGATGGTTAACTACCTGTCTGTCAAGGTATAACTATGGGGGGGGGGGGCATGATGCAAAATCAATCAAAAATATTTTGAATAACTTTTTCTACCTCTCATACAGTTAAAAATAGTCAGTTTTAGGTCAATAGTATATTTTGACTGAAATTTGTGATGTAATTGTTTGAGTGATTATGTAAATAATTTTTTGTTTTTCATCCTAACTAATTTATATACTCGTCACCACAGGAAAGCTTTTCAAACAATTGTTTGGAGTTGCATGAGAATCTTGACATTTAATGTATCAACTAAAATGCATGAAAACTGAAAGACCAAAAACAATGGCAAGCATATATTTTCAAATCTTTAGAAGTGTTGAGTAATCATGATCATGCTAAAGATTTTGTGCCCCTGCCATTTTTTCCCACATGAACCGGGCAAATTTGTTAAGGCCCCCAGCCATAATGCTTATGAGGTAAGCCATCCATCAGTTTTTAAGTAGTATTTTGAGTATTTTGTTTAGCCACAAAATGTTAATCCAGAATTTACCACATAAGTTACATACCATTCAGATGATATCCCCTTTTCCAAGTCATTATACGTGGGCTTACAAGTACGTGATGAAGTACTTTGACTTAATCGTATCATTTTCTTGTTCTCTTAGTCTCATCATGCCCCAGAAAAAAAATGCAAGATTGCAAAGTGGTAAATAATTGCCAAATAAATTCCTAAGAATGGCAAATATCAGTAAATGTAATGAGAAATCATTTCAAATCAGTCCTTTTTTTTGGGGGGGGGGGGGGGGTTAAAGAATAACAAAATCATGATGTTGATCATTAAAGGCCAGTTTCTTTTATATCCTCCTTGATAAATGGGGGTAAACCTTGCCTTGGAAAGTCTAGGGATTTTTATTTAAATCATCACATCAGGAAAACAAAATACCCTTTTTAGTTCAATAAATTTTCAAAAATGCATTTACTTATAAATTTAGTATTACTTTAAAAAAAATCTTCCCATCTATATATCTAGATTTATTTACACTTATCAATCTGTTCATCTATCTTCCAATCTTTCTGTTCATTCATTAATGCAGTTTACCCTTACCTTTTTGCAGTATGCAATATTCATTTCTCCAGTTTACATCTATCATCAACATCAATCTTTATCTGTTATCTGCAATCAACTGATTGATAAATCTGACTGGCGTTCAACTTTTACTGTCATTAGGTAAAGTCTATAATGAATAGTGACTGCATGGTCACTTTTTCATTGTGGAAAGTAAACTGAATCCCAAATTCAATTTTACAATACGTCACAACTTATGAGTCTGCAAAACCTGATCCCAATAGGGAACAAACTGGTATCAATTACGGAGCTGCTACTTTTGGAAAACATTGGAATTACAGAAATACTTTCAAAGTACATATGAATGAAAGTACATCCTAACCTATATCACTGGGCACTGGCCAGAAAAGACAATGAATGCCTCCTGATGATAGTTCAGGTTTTCATCATTTTGATAATTGGAAACCAACTCGTTACTAATAATCATAGGGATCAATGAACTTAACTGGCAGGGCAGGAGGAAATCATGACAAAGACTTAGTTGTGTTTATCACTAAACATATGTTTGTGAGTGGGATGTACCTAGGGAGGAGGAATTTTGTCAATCAAATAAGTCATCCATTTACCTAATTTGGCTTCATGCTTTTATTTCCTTTTGAAGGGCCTGTCATTTATCAAACAATAAGAAAAAATGATTTAGGTAGATTTCATTGTCTCTTGTTTTCATTAAGCTGTTGGCTTCACAGGATAACCTGCAGGAAGTCAAAAGACTGTAAAGTTCACTTTTTTCATAATTTTTGGAACACGGCATTTGATGAATGAAACAACTACAGCTTAACCTGCATTACCAATGATATCCACATGTTGTCAAAGGAACAGAATCTCAGACACGGTTGACCCTACAGTGCACATCTTCAACTATCCTCCATAAGTACAAACTTGGCCCTGGATGCCTACACCACAGCATCAAAGGTCAAAGCCCCAACAAGCTTCGTCCTTCGTTCGTCCCTCATCTCCCATTTCGCTCTCCTCATTAGAACCATAGCTAGACAATGAGCATCATAAAGATGGAAGTTATTAATGAATACTCAATGAGTACAGTGACTTGTGCCCTCTCTACATGGGATGCATTCCTATCAAGTACGTTTACTTCTCTCAAAGTCAAAGCGCTCCGGGCCACCCAAAAGACTTCAGAAGGCATCCGCAGAATAGCAAGGTCACTTCGACTGGAGAGCCCTAAAATAGTAATGAGCTAGGTACATATCAATTGTATGTTGTTTCAGAATGAATAAACTTTCATCAAAGACACATGTACCTAAAAATGAATCGGAAATGAGAATAAACCTGATAAGCTGAATGATATACATGTATTCCTTCGAAGAAGAGGAAAAACAAATCAGAATTAGTAAACTAAGCAAAGAGTTGGAATTACCTTCAAAAAGCTTGGATTGGATTTGCTATTGCTTCTCTGATACAAAATTGTCATTTCAAATATTCTTTTTCTTCTTCAAATTCCTATGAGCCAGCCACTTACCAAAAAGTTCTTAAAGTTGGCCTCCCATATGTGCTACTATACAAGCTTGCCTATAAAGATCTGTCAAGTAACCATCTTGCTTTTCTCTAGTCCTGCTACCATATGTTTGCCCTTTAA